TTTTGGGTTGTGACTTATCTGAGTCTTATCTGTGACTTATCTGGGAATTTGCTTCAGAGTGGTTACAATATCGTAAACGACCCGCACTCAACCAGTGTATTTATATGCACTTTAAGGTCAAGTGAGGTTCCTGAACCTACGTCACAGACATCAGTCACGTGGTCATTTTGAGCACGTTATTCTTGTGATCAGCGGCAGGGGTCGACCGCAAGAAAATAGAATTTTGAACTTTGTAAAAATTCGTAAAAAAATCGCGTTTTATCCAAATCGATGAGCGAAAAACGTTTTTTGACATTATGGGCACTTTAAAGAAAAACGGGTAAATACAGCAAAAATTACTATGATCTCAAAGTCGAAGAAAACGACCTGAATTTACGAGTTAAGTTACGATAAGGTTCAGGAAGTGGTGGAGTTTTCTTCATTAACTCGGCATGACTCAAAGTAAACCAAAAACCAGCGAAATCTTAGATAACCTTGGATATTCAATGCACAATATAGTCTGATTGCTGACTTACGGCAGTGGCGAGATTTCCCGCTAGAATCTGATAAGCAGCAGATGCGTGATCGGTGAATTCTGACTTCCATGGCTGCTTGAGTTTCATTGTAATTTCACCTGAAAAGTGTCAAGCCATTTATTAGGAACAAGCGCACACCTTGTACATTAACAAAATCAACTGACTTCTCAGACTCTACTTCTAGTTACTTGACTACGACCTACGAGGATATTTCCGTCATCCATCTCTAGTTTTTTCCTGAGGTTGGTCCTGATCGTACTTTTGATCCCGTAGAAAATTGTCAGTGACATACTAACACTCTGAAACAACAATTTGTAGTTAACCTAACTGGTGGGTACCGTATCAACAAAAATGTGACTCAGGGATCACTTACCTGGGTAGGGTGCATAGGCAGTTCTGGGAGGATGCTGGGGTGGACAGGGGTTTGCGCACATTGGCATGACGGACGGGTCGCAACATCCTGCCATTCCCATATCAGGCATGGGTGGGGGGATTGCACAAGGATTGTTGCATGTGGGACCTGGTGGACAACAGGTACCTGCTGCAGGTGGGGGTGGAGGAGGGGCGAAGAAGTTGAAGCATGTGGGTCCAGGCTGGCAACAATCGCTTTGCTGTTGATCCATTGGTTGATCCATTGGTTGATCCATTTGTGGTGCTTGTTGGTCTGGTGCTGGCATGAACTGCTGTTGCTCTTCTGGCGCGGGCATGAACTGTTGGCCCTCAGCAGCAGGAGCGTATCCAGCCATAGGTGGGGCTTGCTCCTGAGGATCAGGGGCTGAATCCTGTTGATCCGGGCATGGATTGTCACATTCGGGGCCTGGAGCGCAACAGCCGCGTTTGCTCGGCTCGGGCGCCGCTGAAATGTAAATGTGATTTAATGTGAGTCGGCGGTTAAGGAAAGAAAGTCTATACCGATCATGTTGGATTGATTCTCGCCGAACAAACATAAGAGTTTGTACATACCGTGCGTCAGCACAAATAACGTGAAGCACAACAGTAGCGTTGCTCGTGTCATTTTAGTTGGTCAGCGGTCCGCTGTGGATGAAATAATGAACATCTATTAAGCCAACGTGGTTGTATTTGTGGCGAATATTGCATGTCTTATTTTTATATAAACTGAGTGTTTGGTGGTGGTCTAAATAGTAAGAAAATAAATTAACCATTTTCCCAGTATGAGACTGTAGAAAGTCGATGCTCTATAGACTTTGGCTATTTCAATGTCAGAGAGAATCATTGCGTTCTACCAATCAAGAAAAGCCTTTATTACTATAGCGCCTCTTGTACTCTCAAATTTCTTTTATATCACAAATTTCCCAGAGTATGTCAACGTTTCTAAAAAGGTACGATTATATCCAAAACATTTTATTAAAGGAGACCTAAGGTAAAGTCTGTCTACGAGCCAAGTGGCCCATCAGACCCACGCTTAACTTCGGTTTCTGCAGTATGAAGCGACTAAGAGTATTTCTCCTCCCCCCTGGAGGGGTCGTTGGTCTATCGCAGGGTTACCCTCCAGTATTAAATTCACCATTCACGATGTCCCCAGCCAGGGCTGCAACCGGACCACCTGATTCAGAGTCGAGCGCACTAACCATGAGGCCACTGCGCCTCCTACAAAGGGGACCTGATGGGTAGTTACTCCTTTGCTCCGAATAACCAATTTATTCTGATGAAACTTTTCCGAAAAGTAAAAGATTTGACACAAATAATACGAGTGAAAATTGTACCTCTTCATATGAAGGTCAAGCGTTTTTCCTTAGTAATTGTTTTCTTTTAAGGCAACGTCAAATTTATGAAAGGTTATAGCCCGTCTGAATGAGCCGATTCTACTGCGAATAAAATTGACCTCTATTCCAGATGGCTCAAGAATAAACACGCTCTCAGTTTGGTCCAAACCGTAATCAGCTTCAAAAGGTTTCCCAGTTCCTTCCGGCGTTTTAATTCGAGTAGTAACTTCCCGTGATGAGGAAGTCCTCACCATGATTGGTTCCTTGAGTTTAAGGTCGAGAGAATTAAAGAGCTCATCTCTCTTGCAAAATTATAGGATTACAAGGTTTTCATTGCGCTTGCAGGAATTATATTTACCTAATATCAGCAATAACAGATTGATCATTCCAGATGATCAAGATTATGAATATTTCAACTTTTACACTCGAATTAACAATTTTCACCATGAAAACTATTAGACCGGTGACTTCACCTCAATTTTATTGACATTGGACCAAATATCATTGTAATTATCATTTTATCAGCGCTTAATTTCATCAGTAAGAGAGTTCGAGATGAGAATGTTCTTTTACTTTGAAGCATAAACACAAAAGTCGTAGAATGGGTGAAGGGATGATATTTTTTGTTTATGAGTGAAATCACCGGTGCTTCGATCACACATGTCCCATGGGGGCAAATATTATCCATGACTCACTCACCTTCGTTAAAATACTGACTGTTCTTCAGGGCTTGCTTTAACGTCTTGAAAAAACAGGAAAACACTGTTATATTCAAACGAATTGGAAGATACTTGTTAGTTATGTTATAAATGTCGTTCACCTCTCCGTATTTGACCGTGTAGTTTTGTTGACAAGTCCAAAACTAAGGTAGCAGAGGAGTTGTCATCGACCAACGCCTATTGCAGGAATAGTAAATAGCGAATTTGGCAAGCAAAACTTTGTGCTCTCAAACTAAAAAACACGGTATAAAAATAATCGAATATTTTACCTTGAATCCCCGAAGATTTTAGACGAAAGATCACCCTAACCAAACTACGATCTCCGAACCGTTTATGAATTAAAAATTACCTAATTCCTAAAAGAGTACGTGAACCGCTGGTTTGGAACGCCGGGTAAGGATCACTACGTCAGTGAGTAAACACTGATTTGACAGGTGGCAATCTTGTATATTAAAGGCAAGTTTGTCACTAATCAGCCAATAGCAACACGTGGATTATGCGTTACATCATTGACAGTTAATCACCCGTGACAAGTTAACAGGTATTTCTTGGCTTCCCTAAGAGTTCTCTGTTGAAATTAAGCTAAGCTTACTTGGTTTGTTTTTATTTTTTTCGTTTCGTATGCTCGATTGTCTGAAATTTGTTCATTGGTTTTTGTCGTTTTGTATCCTCAGAATGGTAAGTTGGTATTCATAAAGGAAGGATATTTCATCTTCGACGTCCAGCTCTCTGCAATCCGGAATTCTGTCCTCATTTGTAAAAAATACCTTTTCGCCATAAATATTTATGCTACTTTTGAAAACAAGAACTGGTTGGTAACGCTTAGGAAGCTGGATTTTCGTCTGTGTTTGCTGGATGAGCTCTGCAAGGGAGTACAACTTTGAATTCACTAAATTCGATTTGACTCAAACATTATCTCAATCTGGGAGGACAAAGCCTTCACTTGTTTTCGTAGTTTCCACCGCTAAAAAAGGGGTCATCCTGATTTACTACTGTCAAGCGAAGCATTAGCGAGACAAGAGAATTGCAATCTCGGAGCGTTTTATTAGCGTTTTAAAAGAATATATCAATCCGAAATTGGAACGCTTACTTTCTTTGTTGGTCATGTTCTGTTCAGAGATTTTCGAACTCGATTTTCAAGTTTGCACTGATCCACCATTTTTAAAATTAGAATTATTTTCATCGCGATTGACTTTTTCCCTGATGCTTGCACCAAGAGAGTGGATAACCTGTTCCAGGAAAAATGAGAGTCTGGCATCAAGCTGGATGAATTGAACGGACGTTTACAAGATGATTAGGGTTAGGATTTAATTATCCTTTGCGCAATTATGTCATTATCAAATCGCTGTTATGCGTTGTTTTATCTCGTAGCCTGGAATTATCAGTGTTTTTTGTGAATCAGAAGCATTTATCCTCGGTTATATGCTTCTGTGTAAATATTACTGTTTGTGAAAATTAAACTGAACCGACGATCCATATAACTAAAGTTTGCCTATAACTGGTAAGATTCTGCGGGAGCAATAAGAGTTTTAAAAAATTCTATCTCAGGGTCCTTAGATGAAACACTCTTGTTAAATCTTGGGTATGGAAAATTGTTAAGATCAAGAGCCTCGCGGAATATCAGCTCAGTGTTTGTTTCTCACCGCGGGTTAGCGTGCTACTGTAGTAGAAGATACACCAAGAAAAATAGCGTCCACGGGATCTACCAGTTGTTTTGAACTAGTTTTAATGCGTAATTCCACACAAGCTAGCTAGTCAACTAAAAGCAAACGAATACACGTGAGTCGACTAAGCACCATTCTTTCAAAAATCGCAATTCTTTAGGAACAGATACTCGATTAAAAACTTCCTCTAGATATTTTAGATACACTTACAATTCTGTAAGGCGCAATCCCGTTTAAGACAGGCTATTTTCTAATTGTAGAGACACGATCACACTGCTTCAATAACAGAATTCTCTACTTTTTGATTTCGGATTGATTTTCCCCGATCACGTAGCTAAAGGGCTCGCTCTCGTCTCATTGGCCCAGCGCTAATGTGGTTAAAGGATCATATTTGATGACAAAGGAAAACAGACGCGCGTGTGCTGTCTTAGCCACAAGTATCTAAAACAGTGAGCATTTGTCAACGGCGTGCAAAACAGTGTTGCTCTTCAACAGAATCAGCAGCAATGCTGGCCCCACCAGAAGACTTTGCCAAATCACAATACGCGTCCTTCATGTCTTTTTACGAATGCTTGTTATCAGTATTCCGCATTTTATACCCTGACCCAATTTCATACTCGGTCCGTCTGATACAGTACGAATTTTACATCCTAGAACGTGTTTTCATACCTCGTCCTTATTCCGTGGTCCTTAGTCCTTGTTTCATATTCAAGGGTTAATTTTAACTATTACTCTTCGGCCCCAGGGTCTAGCCGTGATTGAAGTCCAAGATGGCGAACCCTGTTGGCGGCCATGTGTCAAAAGAAGGAGACGTGGACTTCATATTCGTCATTTTACATAGGTTTGTTTGTTTTTATTTTTATTTGAGGTGCCCCAAGCACTTTTTCTTGAGTCGTTATTACACATGGCTTAGCCAACTGCCTCTCGGTGGAGCTCAGAAACTTCAAGAACATTATTGCTCTAGCAAATTATGGCCTTTATCAGAAATGTTTGTTTATATGTAACCTGATAAAATGTTCATGCCTGTGGTAATTTTATGTGTATTCAGTTGTGTATGTTAAGCCACTAGCCTTTGCTGTGGACTTTGATGAGAACCATTAAATCACACATGGAAGATTTTTTTAATCAATCACACATCACGTAAAAAGGAGTGATGATTATTGTAAGATTTTAACCTCTAGGAGGCATTATTTAAATTAGATTGCATCCGAAATTTTTTATTCTGGATTCAATTGCGTTTCCCTTGTCATATTGCTTTTTTGTTAGACAAATGTAGACGACTTACTCATTGAAAAGTAGACGCTCCGAGAACATTAACTCAGGCTTTATATCCCTATGAACCCTGTGAGTTAGGGGAAGAGGACTGCTGACATTCAGACTACCATCTAGGTCGAAGAGCTTTCACTTATCAGGGAACTCTAATTAGTAAGACATGTAAATCATGTGTCACCCACTAGTAAAATAGCAAATCATGCATCAGGCTATGATGTCTGGTCCCTCGTCATGCAGATAATTTAGGTTCAATCAGGCGTCATGCTGCAAATTTTGGGGCAATCCCACATCAAGCAATAATCCTTTGCCACCGTCAACTCAAGGAATGCTTTGATTTTAGTAGAAGCAGTGGAAACAGTTTTGGTGAAAGAAAAATATTGTGTTGCAAGTTAACAAGAGCTTAATGATAGTTAAACCTGTGCACACAGCTTGTGTTTTTGTCCTTTGATTTTGCCAATTTTCATCCATCATAACGCAACAAAATAAGTACTTTTAGAGTTAAGAATTAAGTTCACAAATTGGAAATGAATTCCACTAGGGAAATTTCTGAAACTAATTTTTTCCCAATGATAAGCTCCAAACAATACTGAAACTGTTTTGTATGCAATAGTTCTGACCAAAAAGTGTGTGTTTTCCTTGTGCAAACTGTAGTACTCCTGAGTGGTAAATTATAGTTTACATGTATGCTTTCATTTTGTATATAACTATTTCTTTTCAGTTGTCGCCATAATTTCTGCTCAAATTCTTGGTTCTATTTCATCAATTCAATCTTCAACTCAGCCATTTTTGCTCTGGCAGGCAGAAGGCAAGGTTCATTCTCTCTAGCACTTTCATTGGTTTTTCACACTTAAACTGGATTAATATGCAACTTGACCACAAGATGAGATGTGTTCTCTTTGGCAAACCTTGTAATAATGTTATGAAATTTATAAATCACATTTTTTCTGGGCTCTATAGTGTGATAAAGCCACTTGGGATGTTATCATGAGAATACTAGAAAGGCTGGTACATCATGCACCTTAGGTTTGTGATTAATAAGCTTTAATTTCTCTTGTACAACATCTGACATGGCTTTATCATGTTATAGAGCCCAGAAAAATGTTCTGGTTCAATGACAGAGAGACTGACTGACTGACTGACTGACTGGCTGGCTAGCTGATTGATTTAGATACTGTCAGACTGACTGACTGACTGACTGACCTGAGCCAACTAGACTGGCTGCCTTGCTAGTTTACTAACTGGCTGTGAGGCTGGCTGACAGGCTGGCTGATTAACTGGCTGATTGACTAACTGGCTGACTGATTAACCGGTTGATTGACTAACTGGCTGATTTACTAACTGGTTGACTGATTAACTGGCTGATTGACTAACTGGCTTACTGATTAACTGGCAGATTGACAAACCGGCTGACTGATTAACTGGCTGATTGACTAACTGGCTGATTGACTAACTGGCTGACTGATTAACTGGTTGATTGACTAACTGGCTGATTGACTAACTGGCTGATTGACTGGCTTACAAATTGTCTGTCTGACTGATGGACTGATTGGCTTGCTGACTGATGGCAGACTGACAGGTGAATGATGGCTGGATGGCTGACTGACTGACTGATCACCTGACTGGCTGGCTGACTGGCAGGTTGACTTAGAGACTGATTCACTCTTTTGACTGACTTCCTGATTATACTGGGATGTTCAACTTCACAGTGTGTTCTCACTATAGTAAGTGTGTATGTATTTATGTATGTGATATCATCATCATACATTCCACTCACAATGCAGAGGAAATGTAGCCCATAGTAAGCAACATTAATTAACATTTCCGATGCCACAAGGTAAATTTGTGTGTACATTAGGTTGCAATTTTTGAAGTGGGGCTGGGATTTGAGTAGATGGAGTACTGTTAGGATTAGAGCAGAATGACACACTATAGAGGTGGCTAAATAAAATGATCGAGAACCGTTTTGAAAGTGCTTTTGCAAGGAAGTTTGTCTACTCCAAAGACTAGGGTGAATGTTTTTGTCATTATTCAAGATTTTCGTTCCAACATTTTGATACCATGGCTCCACGTAGTTTCACCCAGGGTTTTGAAGATCTGCAAGTGGAAAGTTGTTTTATTGTAGTCTAGTCCAAGTTACTACTGGTTTATTTTGTGGATTGGGAGGGGAGGGGAGGGGAGGGGAGGGGGGAGTTAAATCTTTTTAACGAAAATACCGTTTGCCGCTTGACACAACTTGACAAATATCTTGTCAAACGAATCGTACAGTTGAGCAGTTGTAGTGTTCTTATTCACTTTTTGTCGCAAAACGTGTTCTAAAGGCCTGTGGTTGTGTGATGAAGAGTTGCAAGTAGCAACATCAAAGGCTATCCATCACTTGCTTGGCTGTTTGTTAATTCTATTCCAAATGATGTAATGTCTAGATAACCGAGTAGTGTTCGTGATTTACTGTTACCTCGACGCGCAATTCAAGCAATAAGAAAATCGACCACTGTCGATTTTAGTATTTGAAAAAATGAATAAATTTAAATCGAATCAATCAAATTCACGTCATACAACTCCGCAGATGGTTCTCCATGGCCTAAAATTCACTGAAATTTTTTTCATGTTAACAATAATTACTGAAAAATTTGCTTTACAGCATTTAGAATTGCAGAGCCAATTCAGAAAGCCACGTGCAAAACGCAAGTTGTCTTATGCAAATTCCATGCCGAATTCACGCTACCTGAATGATTTGAAAACGCCTGGCTTACGGTTTCAACCTTTTCCGTTTCCTTTCCATCCATCGCTGTTTGCTTTATTTCAGAAAAGAGATGCGTTCTTCACTCTGATAGTTTTGTACTTTGTGATTTTTTAAGCCTCAAAGACTTTAAGACTGAAACTGGTTTTGAATTAAATGATAATCTTTTTATTTGCGGCCACATAAAAGTAAAGTTTACATTTGTTATCTTAAACTTTCTGCCGATTGCTGGAGAAAGCAAATGATAAAGATGGCGTCTCGTTTTCTTCAGAGGAGATTAAAGATATTTGTGTTTTGAAGGTTACTTCAGATTGCTGGAGAAGAAAAAAAGAGTGGAAAATTATTTTCACTCTCTTTTGGAAAACTTGAACATTTACTCTGATAGCTTCAACGGTATTGGTTTTTAAGGTCGTAAAGGTAAGTGAAACTGGTTTCGTAGAGTTTTCGTATTTAATGACATGATGTGTTTGTGATTGTAGACCAAAGATTGATGGTGGATATGATGTGATGCAAGCTAGCGGCCGTCTGTCGCCTCTGAAAATTCGCTTTTGAAGGATAACTTGCTTTGAGGAAGATCTGACTTTTTATCTCCTTTTTTTAAAGGTAAGAGGCAATGTGTCGTACGAAAATTATAATTATTATTCCCCCTGCAAACGGCAGATCGTTACGTAGTCTTTCGATCGAGTTAATACGAAATGCACCCACCAAAGCAAATAATTGTCAATTCTTTAGTTTTGGTCCGAGAACTAGTTTTAATTTTCATCTCTAAATCTGTGATCCTTGAGTTGTATCTTAAATATTTCGGTTTATTAACAACAAATAACTAAAAGACATGACGAATAAATTGTCAGGAATGCCAAAATATTTCTTTATCTGATGAGATTAATTTTTACTGGTGGTCCTGAATTCTCTGAGAACATTAACCCCTTAAAACTGCGAATTTTTTTATTGAATGATCGTGTACCTTTCCTCTTTCAGCTACCCCAAAGATCACAAATGTAAAAAAGAAGGGCAGGGGAGACGACAATACTCTTTATTCCGGTGAGTATAGCTTGGTTGTTCGTTTGAACGAAAGCTTCTGTCACGTTCATGGAGATTTTTCGTGGTCTTTTGACAGAAAACATGTGTCGTCCTTGTGATGAAGGTTTATGTAGGACGTATGCGGATTCATCTTAACTTCTGAATGTAATTATTTCCAGGTCTATGAGTTTAATTGTTGTGGCAGGGCTCCACACTAACTTTTCAACTTACTAGCCAAGTGGTTCGTGACAACTTAGATGTCGCAACAATTTCAGTTTGTTTACTAGCTCAATTGACTAGTGGCAATCAAAAACCACTCGCCAAAACTGAATTTCTTATAGTCTATGGCTAGTTGGCTACCGTTAGTGTCGAACCCAGTGTGGCATAGTTGGAAAGAAGCCAGTGGGAATTTGTCATACTCTTTTGGCGGAAAAATCCGTCCGATAAAGTTTGAAGGCGAGTAACGTTCTTATGGCAGAAATTCTTGTTATTAATTTTACTTCCCTGTGTTGCAGGTTTCTTTGACCCCGAAAGCTGGATGCCAAGGAACACGAACACCTCAACCATGAGGGCAAAGACAAATATTAATCTTGGAAAGAAAGCAAAATTGGATCGACCCCAAATTCAGAGAATAAAGTGAAAATTGGAGTTCGATCCGTCCACCATCCCCCAACTTTATCAGAAAGTTTATTGAAGTTATCTAACCTGAAAAAAAAAAAAAAAACAAAACAAAAAAACATCGGCGATTCCCTTTCAAGCACCCTTCCACATACCCGTCACTTTAAGACATCATTATCCAATTGTGCTTCGTAGAGTACAAATAGCGCGCGAGACGAGTACAAATATCACGCGATATTTGTACTCCAGAAATATCCACGAGCCCGTTGGGCGCGAGTCAAACTAACTTTTGTCACAGGACATCTACCCGAGAATTCCTAAACATCTTTTAATGCCATTATCCAGTAGTACTACGATACAATCTTGTAATATATAGATATTATAAAATATAATACAGTAGTAGTATTACAATCTTCTTCTTACAATGTTATAATACAATAATATAACAAAGATTTTGACAGTTTTCCACTATCCATCCTCCCCCACCGCACCCACCACTAGCCTATAGATTTATTAAGTCTTCTCAAGCATTGTCCACCTTACGGTACAAACGTTTATTTCAAGGTTCTGTCTTCAAACCATGCGTATTGCAAAATGTTGTTACCACAAGGTAGAGAGATTTTACAAATACTTAGTAATTGTTTAAACAGGTTGTGTATGACGGGAGAGGGTGGCGGATCAATCCCTAAAGTTAACATTTATCCTTGGTTTCTTGAGGTGGTCATCCTTCATTTAAACCTGATAAAATGACGACAAAACCGCGAATAAGAAGTATAGAAACATCATGAAACAAAGTATAACATCAATACGCATGCGTTTTACACTGAAACCCATAAGGACGAGAATTCCTAAACATAGCATTCAACGTAAATTTAAAGAAAATCTGTTTAGTCGTCTCTTTCACGAATCTACACTCTTGCGCAAATGAATGAACCCCTTAAAACAGAATCACACAAGTATAAGTGCAACTGTGATTACACTTGCCACTCGTCTCACTTGAAATTCTTTGTAAACGTGTAATCTTCATGTTACCTGAAAGAGGAAAATACACCCAACTCATATTACGACACTACACGGTGCAGGCATTTTTGCTCACAATGGTTCAACATATTTGCAGATGCAAATCCGTAGGTCTCTTTGTACCTTCTCAATTGTAGAGACAAAATACGCCTAGAAGCTCTCATTTTATTCGTCTTCTTTACAGAACCATACGAGACTGGCAAATTTCAAGGAACAAATAATTATATCTTACCAGACGTTTTGGTACATGGTATTCATGAGTATATTTTCGAGTTGTGCCGTATTTTAACGAGTTTGCAAGGCGATACTCCAATCAAAAAACGTCTAATAAGTTATTTAATATCCAACTGTATTATCTCATGTAAATTAAATATAATGCCGGTAAAGCGAAGTAAGTAGACAAGCGTAGCACGCGCAGACGACTGAGTAAACAGGCTCCTTTACATGATAGTAATTGAACACAGTTGAATGCAATTTGGTCTGATATCAGATGCACGATTTCAAAATGAAATGAGCGCGCACCAGATCAAAATTGCACCACACCAATGGCAATTTCAATTACCACCTTATCACATCCATTTGGAAATTGCAAAATTCAGTCGCTCAGATACGGGCTATTTTTTAGTCTTTGCAAATGTTTTGTTGATGCAGTAATGAGCCGGTCTGTAGAAAGTTGCAAAAGTTGTTTTGCATTTTCCTGCAATTAGACTGGTTTCTTTAGACAAGCGATTGGTTATTGTATTTTAGTACATCTTCCTCATTGGCTGAGAAAACGATGCGATTTAGAGCAAAAGAGGTGCGATTCATGATTAAATCGCACCAATGAGAGCCTATCAGGTTACAAGGATCACCGGAGACTTTAAAGTAGATGTAATAAAGTACAACATAACCAAATATACTAATATCGCGTGATATTTGTACTCGATTCGGGAGTTATTTGTACACTACTTAGGCCCAGTTCAAACGTCGAATTTCACATGTGCCGAACTTACCTCCTATTTTAGTCGACTAAAATAGTTAAATGCGGCATTTGATTCAAACGTCGAATTTAACTCTGTCGCATTTAACTCTGTTCGCTGTCAATATTCCCAGGCGCACTACTTTAGGCCCAGCTCAAACGTCGAATTTCACATATGCCGAGCTTAACTCCTATTTTAGTCAACTAAAATAGTTAAATACGACATTTGATTCAAACGTCGAATTTAACTCTATTCGCTGTCGATATTCCCAGGCGCACTACTTATTTGCTAGACGAAGATGTCTATTGAGCGTTTGCTTAATTGCTTCACTGATGCTCTTCTTTTGCTGTTTGTTTTTTATTCTTTATCTTGGCTTTTCGTCATGATCCTTTCACTTGATTCACGTTCCATCATTTCATTGAAACACGACCCACAATATGCCACAGAGTTTCCTACTTTCCACCGAGGAGTGCCCTCTTCGTTTTCAAAAACCGAACACCTCATACAAAAGTAATTACCGCACCTCAAACAACTGTAATTTGTCTTTTCAAAGCGAGAACTTCAAATTTCTTCGTCTCCCACCATTTTTTTGTACTATTTTGGCTTTTTCGCGAATGGCATTCATAGAAGTCCTGGCGAGTTGGGGGTAGTAAATGAATTATAATAATTTCCTGTAATTCATGCATTATGTTCGGCACATGTGAGATGCGACGTTTGAATCAAAAGTCGAACCTAAGTCGAATCTTCGACTGTTTCAGTCGCAGATACGGCAAAAGTCGCATTTAATTAAAAACAGTCGAATTTAATTTATTCAAACGTCGCACTTCACATGCATTGAACTCTCGCATTAAGTTCGGCACATGTGAAATTCGACGTTTGAACCGGGCCTTAGTGACGTTTGATAATAATTCTTGTCTTCAGCGCCCTCATATATTTGTACTTGTTTTGTTTTCCTGGATTCAAGAATTCCATATTGTTTTATTCAATGAATTACTCTAGAAATCTTGTTGTTCTATTTAAACGACTGTTTAACACAAACTTACCGAATTTGTTTCGGATGTTAAAAGAAAACATCATACTAACTTCCACGTGGGCTTTACGGTACTTCTTCTGTCCCACTTTCGACTAAGCAATAGGTTTACCTGGTAACAAAAATAATTGTGTTAACGAAAAGTAAGTTAATACCTCAACTTGAACGGTAGCTTGGTTACCAGCTGTGAGAACTGCAAGAAGGCTTTCCTGTACTGCGGTAACTACCTGCCGTTTTCAATGAAGTTTTTTCTGTCTTAACAATGGAACATAAAACTTTAACCTTAATGAAGGAAGTAACGAGTCAGATTTTTCCAAAACAACTTATTCATCAAAAGCAAACTTAATAGTGACGACAGGAGGCCGCCATCTTGAATTAAATCATAACCCCATCAATTTTACTTCCACAATCACAAAAATGTTGCGACGTAGTTTGTAATGGAATATTTCGGTAATGTTGTATGCAGTATTGAGAAGAGTAATGGCAAGTGATATTAACATCATGGAAAATAACAATATATTTTCTAGGAAATCTACACCATCTTTTTAAAAAGGCGCCTACTGAATCACAGTTACAGTTTCTTAAAAATTGAGCACATCTTTTTTTTTTTTGGAAAACTCTTTTAAGTCTTTTCTTTCCTTGACCATCGTTGTTACTTGTTACTTTGCATTCATCTCTTCAAACTAGTAATATGTCATTTTGGTGTCTATCTCATTTTCCTAATGGAAATTCTGTTGTTTCGTACAAATTACAGGCAATTTTGTGCGCCGCAAACACGCGATACAAAACACCATGACCTCGATCATGGAAGAGCGCTCCATGAAAAAACATATCAAAAAAATGAGCCGGAAGGGAGGTCCCTTCTGGTAACTCGTTAGTGGAACTGAATTTAAGTTGTAAGGATTAAGGTGGTCCATTATTCCCATAAAAATGAAGACCAGGTTGAAAGTAATGTGAAGAAATACAATCTAAGAAAGACACAGCTCATCAGTGAACACTATATATATACTCTGACAGTAACACGCTCAAAATGCCACATGGATACCAAATATCTGTGAATCAATTTCTAATTTTCTCTAAGCTCGTCGCTGCGCCATTATCTATATCATGGGATTTTTTGTGCCTTATTTTTCGGCAAAGTTGCGATGCCATATCGCCGCCATTGAGTTAAAGCTGTTACAAGTGCACACACATCACGTGATGGCGACATTTTCTTACGACTTTCGCTGGAGATCATATTCACTGCCATTCTGACCCTCCAGGCAGATTTATCAAAAAGGAAACCGATTGATAATAAGAATAAGAAAGATAGTAAATTGTGAGCTCGGTAAAGAAAGAACAAAAGCTGTTTTTTCGTCTCGTCAGGAGCGTGAGATAATGAAAAACATTTTGAGTCCCCGTGAGGAGTGGAACCTGGAACCTTCAAATTCCCCACCCCGATGCTCCACCACTGAACCACGAAGATCTGGGTACTACCAGATAGTCTGAGGTTCGATTCCTCATGGGAACTCACAATTTTCTCGTTGTCCCACGCTAGCGAAAAAGTATTTTTTTGTAACCATCATCGTGGAAAGAAAAAAAATCATCACTCGAGCAAAACTGGTCCATCATCCGGGCAATAACGGAAAGGAGAAACAAGATTGTGGTTCCGATGGACGCGATGAGGAGGCCTGCCTAAAAAAAAATAATTCGCCTTTCAACAATTTGAGACTTTGACTAATACCAGTACACTTAAAAGACACCTGAAAAGACTTAAAGACCAAAGATCCATTGGCTTTTATAGCTATTGAAAGTTGCTATGTATTCTTTGACCCGATACCATAGGACCTATTGAGCATAAAGAGAAGCATGTAACCTAGAAGCGTCCAAAATCTCCTACGATGCGTCTAAACAAGATGGGGTTCATTAGACGAACATTCAGAAAGCCCAATACATCGTTGCTTAGACATGGAACGACAGATTCGAGCGCTATTTTGTTCATAGCAGCTTACGGCCGCTTACTTGGGGTCCGCAAAATTTCATTGGAACGAAAGTTTGGGATACCATCCTCGCCAGGAAGCGCTGCACAAGTTTGACATCTACAGAGATGTGGCATACGGAAGCCATTCTAGTTGTTCGCGTGTTGTAGTTCTGAGATGATTCTCGGTTGGTGATCAATGATCAATCAAATGAATGTATTGCCTTGTCTCATTCATTCACTTTAATTTTGTCAAAGTATTCATGACACTTGCGCACTTGAAGGGGACTTAACTAATGATAGCGCGCGTGCATGTTTTCTGAGAGGTAAGCTGTGCTGTGTCTATTCGACAGGCCTGGGTTGATATTCCCTGGGCTCAAATATTGCAGATTCAATATGGCGACTATGATCATGTCTGCGATCAAAGTTGTTTGCTATTTGCGTCTGGTGTTTGTTCTTTCACAGCGGAATACTCCAAAACATAAAACAAAAACAGTAAAAGCTGTTTCATTACAATTACTTCAAATGCTGTGGCTGGAAGACAAAATGGTCACTTTCATCTGTTTACGCGATCGTTACAATCGATCGCTACAAACGCAAGTCTCTGTCTCGTAATGTACTTTGAAAAACAAACTTTCCTCTTCTTTCAAGAAATTATTACTTTATGAACATAAAAATAAATTTGTCCAACGTAACACAAGTGTTTTCATATTGGGTGCCAGTTGTCTGAAGATTAGGAGCGAGTTGTCTGGGGCTAATTGTCCAGGGGGGCAAGTTGTATGACAATCGTTCAAAGACAAACTGTGTTGTTCATCCGGGCATTTACTTTTGTGTGAGCCTGATAAGCCGATTGTTTCATTCTTCTGTAACCCATATCCGTTGAGGGCGAATTTGCTGTAGAGTTCCTCAGGAGCTGCCGCCGTAAATTGAACTCGCACCGCTAACACCGTGCTTTTGTCGCTTTTATTCCCGCCCTCTCCCGAAAAAAAAGGTACATTCTTATAAGTTTATCCCAAGCTCAACTCTACGAAATGCCAAAAATGATGCAGCCACGCGACAATAAAAAAATACTTACCACTGGCACCAAAGGAGTCGATCAGGGTCCACTGAGATCCAAGCCGTTTGAACACAAACGATATTCCACGTTTGCTTATGTCCTGTATAATGATTGAAACAAACAAAATTTGATTAACATCTTTTTCTTTTCATGAAAATCCTAACCGAGTTTTTAAATCTCAACGTAGGTAGCGATGTTAAAAATGAGTAATCTTCATATCTTTTTTGAGATTTTTGGATGAAACTGATTCCCTGATCACTGAGCTTTTAGTCTTCCATCTCTTGTGCTAAAGAAAACATAAGCTCGGCAGATGAAGACAATCCAGTGTTCGAAACATTTCTTCTTTTCTGGGAGAAAGTCTTCAGTGCATAGATCAAAACTTAAGAGAAAATGGTTTGGATAAAACCGGCCCACTCATACGTTAGCTTTTAGTCTCCCACCTCCACAAAGACAGTCCAGTGTTCGAAACAGTTTATCCCTTCTTTGAGTACCAAGTCTTTACAAAGTCAAAGTCAGTGCAAAGTCAAACGTCCGTTCATTATATAAAGACAGTCCAATGTCCGAAACAGTTTATCCTCATTCTTGGGGGGCAAAGCCTTTTGTATCACAGATCAAGACTAGGGAAGGGATTTCTTGGGTGACGCCGACCCCTTTAAGGGTCAGCTTTGACAGGAGCGGATCTAGGGGGAGGGAGCAGGGGGTGCGCACCCCCACCCCTTGAGATGACCTGCGGCCTGCTAATATAAATGGTATTCTGCAAAAAGAAAAAAAGGAAAAATCCTTCTTCGTATTCGCTATTACAAGTTGTTTACGTCCGGTCACCAGTCAGTTACGCCATGCTTTAGTGGTGCACCCCTCCTCAAAAAATCGTGGATCCGCCCCTGCTTGTACAAAGTCAAAAATCTGATCAGCGCATAAAGACAATCCAGTGTCCGAAACAGTTTGTCCTCTTTTTTGGGGACAAGTCTTTGCATCACAGATCAAGGAAGAGACTTTTTGGGTGACACCGACCCCTTTAAGGGCCAGCTTTTAGTCTCCCATCTCTTGTACAAAGTCAGACGTCCGCTCAGCGTATAAAGACAGTCCAATGTCCGAAACAGTTTCTTCTCTTTTTTGGGGAACAAGTCATTGCAACACAGATCAAGACTAAGGAAGAGACTTTTTGGGTGACACCGAGCCCTTAAAGCGTCAGCTTTGAGACTCCCATCTCTTGTACAAAGTCAGACGTCCGATCAGTGTATAAATACAGTACAATGTCCGAAACAGTTTTTCCTTTTTTTGGGGGACCAAGTCTTTGCATCACAGATCAAGACTAAGGAAGAGATTTTTTGGGGGACAACAACCCATGAAAGGTTAAGCATTTAGTCTCCCATCCCTTGTACAAGTGTGTACGGTGTCCGGAATAGTTTAACCGCTTTTTCGGGGACCAAGTCTTTGCATCAGAGTTCAAAGTCAGTCAGTTATTCTGTTCAGCGTACGTAGACAATCCGTTTTCCGAAACAGCTTTTCCCTTTTTTCTGGGACCAAGTCTTTGCTTCACTGATGAAGACCAAGGAAGATAGTTTTGGGTAACACCGAACCCTTTGTATCATAGATCAAGACTAATGAAAACTCCAATGTCTTAAAAAAGGAGTAGTTTTCTAAAAATGTTTTATCCCTCACATCGCTTATTTAATCTTAGCCCAGTTTCATCACACGTTGTTATAGAGTGAAAATTCGTGGAAGCATTTTAGCAAAAGTTAAAACTTATCTTGCTTGCATTTGTAATGTTTCTGTGTTATCTACATCACTACTCATCTTATAAAATAAGCTGCACTGCCAAAACTCAAGCGAGATTAGAAGAGCATCTGCCTTGCTTGGGAAGGAAACAAGGAAACCACCCACACCTACAGAGAATGTCATCGAATTTTATGACATAAAGTTTTTACGCTGTTGCGTCAGTATAAAAACACATATACGTACACATTTGATCTGAACGCTTTCGTAAAGATGCTCTGCACCTTCGAATAGATACCAACTGAAATTGATTTCGGTTACAATGTAACCAATCATGCATGCTCTGTGCACAATTTAGTATTTCAACGGGCCAGGGGAGGGGCTTAAGTCTATCTTTAAATAAATCTCTCCTAGTGTGAATGGAAACTGATCCATCTGCATTAAAAACAGCTGCACATAAGCATAAGAACAAGCGTGAAACAAAACATTTGACTGATCTTGTCATGCCAAACTAACTTCATTTTAAAAAACAACTTTATCTCCACTAAACCTGCCGTCTATACAACAAGCATCTTCGTGCTCACTTTTATTGTTCTCTTTTTGTGTACTTGTTTATGCTTATGCTTGTGCCTAAATAAGGAGAAACATGTTCATGAGAAGTGAGCAGAGAGACATTTTTGCTGCTGGCTATCACACGTAGGAATATTTGGGAACAATATGGATGTCTTAATTCAGGGTACATAGTTCCACCTTTGTCCACCATCTTAACAACCGCATCAATCATGGATACCATTTTGAATCACTGACCATGGTGTGAAATCTTCCAGTTCACCCAAAAATTGTACACTACACATCTGAAGTGAACTTCAGAGCATACTTTATAGCAACGTCTTCTTTACCTGTCTGTGAATCTAAGTTTGGCAACATAACTGAATGACTGAAATGCTTTTAAAATGGAGTTCATTTGTTTTTAATTCCTAAAAAGCAGAAAATTATAAAAACTAGAATTCTATTCATATTTATATCATAAATGAACATTGTACCTATCATCTGATTGGTTAATTCAGTTTCCAAGCAGATGCTTAATCAGCTTTGGAACCCACATTTGATCAGTGACAAATAGGTCCCTTCAAGAAAATCTAATAATCAGATTTTCAGAGGTTGGCATGTGAGCAGTCTGTCAATCAGTTACCAGACTGTATTCAGTCATTTAGTCAGTTTCAGTCACACAATCTTACACAAACATTATTGGTTTTGAAGTCCTTATAATTGAACTCATGTTGATGCAACCATCTCTCAGTTCGTTTATTGTTTACTCGGTCATTAGAAATAAATTGTCTTCATCATTATTTTTCTCTTTTTACAACTTCAAATCAAGGTGGTTGTTTAGTTGATGTTAGCATCTTGCTCGCTGTTTAAACATATATTAGTTGTATCTTACTGGTGGTACTTATCAGTGGAATTAGACTTCTTTCCTTGGAAATCCAACTACCCATAATTATTTCTTTTTGTCCCTCGGGAAATGAATTCCTTGTACAATGGTCTTCTGTATTCCTTCATGACAACCCAGATGGTAATAATAGAATAACAGTCTTTTAACCAATTTCATCCCCTGGTTATTTGATTTTTGTAGCTGTTTATGTTGCCACCAACAGGTGCATGGTGTTAGATAGTTCAATTGGCTCCGGATCAAAATGTCTATTATATTTGGGTCCTTGGTAGGGTCTGTAATATTCTTAAGGGCAAGCTCTTTCCTCTGGCTCAATATACCTCCGTCTGCCCAGGAGTAAAAATGTGAAGTGAGGAACCTTAAGGGGTCACTCAGGTAATGGGCTAAAGTCCCTTCTAGAGCAGGATCTTCTAGCACACAGAATATTCACTAAAAGTGTCACATACTAAACATTTAATTAAACCACATATGTGCAGTAGGATGTAACAAGATTGAAAGTAACTTAATGGTAATAATCCTTTCCTTTTTATTTTTGTTATAGCTGGGGGCTTCACATTTCAGTGCATGCTCAACAGAACTGGCGAAATTGTTTTTTCCTACCACAAAGTGAGGGGCTAAGTTTATAAGTTTTAAATTGCCATTATCAATTTTATACTTGTATACTTTTTTGCCAATCATTAAAATTATCTACACTGATTTACAAGCAAGGTTGTTGTTTTTGCGTATGGTGGTAACACTTGTGTTGTGTCTTTTCCTGCCAAGAATTAGTATTGAAATGTATTTCCTTTGTTTAGTCAGTCACATGGTAAGAGGTTTCTGAGTGTAGTCTCAAAATTTCAGGTTCTGGTCCCTATTTCATAATTCTAGATATTTTCTTTCACTGTAGCACAGAATGTTGCAAGAGTTTAGGCAATGTATTCTGGTTGAGAGCACTGTATGTGCCTTAGCTGCATTAAAAGAAACATATGAACAGCAAATCAGTTTCACTTATTCTTCCCATATGAGGCTATGTCCATGTATATTCACAGCATGATAACTATACACGTGTAGGTGAAGGATTAACTCTGCTGTATCTTGGTTTGTTATTGTCTTGTTTCAGTTTGCTTTATTTTATTTATTTTTAATCATAGTTAGATTCTAATTCCAGTTGCCAATATTTCTAGTGCTGAGCATTCAGTCAATATTGGGATATCAGATGCTTATTATGTGGACAAACTAAGACACTACTATGGCATTTGTAAGTGCTGTTTGATTGTGATACTTGTTTCCTGGAGCATATTTTTTACTTCAGTGAATCCATATCAAAGGATAAGGAAATGAGGCAAAAATTAGATAGGAAGGAAACATGGGAAAGGAGGAGAAGGACAAGGTTGAGAAGGAGAGGAACGAAAACAGCAACTGAGTGATCAGGAATAATTTCTAAGAGAAAGGTCAACATTTTGGAAAATGGTCACTTTGAGTTTGTTAGACGTGGACATTGTACATATGCATAAAGCTTGGTACACAGTC